CATAAAACCCTGTTATGGGCGATTTTTTCATATTTACGAGTCCTGCCGTTAATCCGCAGGTCAGGTATAAAGTAGGCTATACTTGATGCTATACTTTAAGTTTAACTATAGGTGGGTCACGGCTAGATAAGATCAATAGCCATAATTACTCAAAGCATACTCTCCTTTTAAAAATCATGCGACCATCATCTCACAATGTTTAATAATAATCTTATTTTTATTAAAACGAGTGATTTAGCAATGCCGCGCCACTGACAAGCCAACTGCAGATCAAACAAAGCAACTATCGCGGCAACCTTTTTCTGAATTTCAGCTGTTCTTTTTTGCATTTGATTATTATGCGTTCAATGTTAAAAAAATCAATAATGAATAGAGTGTATCCTGCGTTTGTGCGTTTTATCACTGAAGCTGCCCTTTTTCAAAACTAAAAGTTGCTTTGTCTCTCTGGCAATATTTCAGCTTTATCTAATCAAAAGTTAATTTAGATGAGCCAATATTCAAAAATTGCAGTAAAGTAACTGTGACGTGCGGCCACACATCGAATCTGAGGTCTGTTCTCATCTCTCTCTCGCTGTCATCCAGACATTGATACGTAGACACCACACAAGTCATGTCGCAAAACTGAGGCTGGTACCAGCTGACAGGTAGAATAGCTGAAGCCTTTGCGAAATCTGTCAAATACAGCACTGAAATGAACAGGCATAAATACCTTTGACCCAAAAAGTCTACCTATAGGATATCTGTAAAAACGCAATCAGAGCCAATGTTATGTAGAAATTGTGTAGCCTAATAATTATATTAATTTTAATAAAAAAGAAAATCAAAATAAATAATTCATTGCATTTTTCGTTTGCTAAAAATATACAAAGGGTGGCTAGTTTGTATTAATGTGTTGTAATATTAATTAAATGTGTTTAGCCTATTTAAGCTTAACGGTTATATATACTGCCAATAGGCAAGCCATTCAAAAAATATTATTTTATTGTGTACTGGGTTAGAATTAGGGATGCTCAAAATAATCGATTAACCGTTAACCGAAAGGGTGCGTTTGTGACCGATTAATGCTATCAGTTAAACGATTAAAATTATTATTTTATATATTTTTAGTTTGGCTGCATAAGCGGCCGATTGAATGCGCCTTTGTGTTTAGAGGGGCATCTTTTGCACGCGGCTCATCCCAGAGCAGCAGTTTGTGTTGTCAAGACAACTACAGAGAACTTTTAAAGAGCTTGGTTTCCGCTACATTCATTCTTCCATGGCGGGGACCAAAATGCATCCCGCCACGGCTACATTACCCATTCAAAACATTCAGTTATTGTTGTTGTTGTTTTTAATAGCGGATTATAATCACAACAAAACGTATTAAAAGGTAAGTGGATTATAACAGCGCAAACTTTTTTGTAACCATATAGTGCTGTGCGCTATTGTTTAATCCTTTGGGGTTACGTGCTGACTGACTGAATGACTGACAGGTGCGCGATGCGTGAGGCCAGCAAACACGCAGAAGCTTTCAGTTAAGATGAACAGTTTCTATAGTTATACTTTATTTATAGATAAAGTATGACTCTACATATAATCACTCTATCTTGCTGGCGTTTATGGCCGTTTCGCTTTACTTCAGGACGCATTAACACCGCTCTGAAGGTCTAATCGCTGTTTTAAGTTATCCAGAGCTGTATGAATGTACAAATCTTGAATATCATAATATTATTAAATATTACAATTTTATCAACATAGACAGCAACACTTTTGCACAATTGATACCCAGCTGATTCAGTCGTTTCATAAGAGGACCGCGCTTCTTCTCTTCTTTTTTCCTTGTCAACATAAAGGCAGTGAGGTGCGCCTCGCGTTTTTGGAATGAAAAAAGCACGTTAGCTGTGCTCGGCCACTTGTTCAACTGCAAGACATACTTAACTTGCGAGACGATAATGTATAACCCGTGCCTACAGACACATTTGCCAAAGAAGCAAAATGGAAGAAGAATATTGCTTCAAACAGACGTGTTGATGCCAAAAAAAGCGCTGATGTTGACCTGGATCTGCATCATAAACGCAACAAATAGGCTTTACCTTTTATTTTACAGCATATAAAGCATGTATGCACATTAATGCAATATCATATTTAAACAAAAAACTGTTTACAAAAAGTCAACATATGCGTTGTTGTTGTCTTTTCATCACGCAGCGCGCGCACTTGAGCCGCGATGGAGAGAAAGGAAACCATAGCAAGACATAATCTTTAAAATAATGATTTCTATTAAAAATGTAAAAAGGTTTTGTGATTATAATAATAACAGCGGGGCATTAACTAAATGCATATTTTCCGTGGAGCGAGCGATTTGAGGAAGTCAGCTATTTTATTTGACGGAAGACAAAAATATGATTGGAAAAAAATCAGTCAGTGTTTTCGATTAGTAATATAAATTACTTATTTAAGTGCAAAATAATTTAGGGCAGTCCTATTTATTTTATTCATTTTATTTAGATTATTCTGTTCTTCTGTGCTAAACACTGCAGGTACGTGAAAATGCTCTGTTGTATTGTTCTATTATTAATATGCTAGCATATAAAAATAAATTAGTATTTTATGCAATATTTAAAGTGTCAGACACAAAATAGACATGTCAATTTGTTTAATATAAAATTAATAGTAATCTGACCAGTTAACCGTTAATAACCGATTATTGAGCGGCAGTTGTCGGTTAGCAAAATTAACCAAAATGAGCATCCCTAGTTAGAATGTATATTTTACATGAAAAACTATATGTAGCATGTCTCGCTGTCATTTAAAACATGCAATTCATAACACACCAGAGCTGTAGGCCTACACTTACAGGGCGATGTTGGTCAATAGTCATACTGCGCACCACGTTATTGAGCTCAAATATCTCTGAGGGAGATTATGTGACCCGATAGCCATTATTAACTTGAGAGATTTTAAAAATAAAAGGCCTTTTTAAAAAAGGAACAACACACAAATCGGCAACAAGTAAAACTGGTCCCTTGGAGTTCAGCACTTGTCATCTTGCCAGTGTATGCTGCGTGGTGTGTATGTATAGCGCCCTTATGCGGCGCATGTCAACTGTCACTGGTGAGAGAGAGCGTGCCCGTGAGAGCTCAGTGCAAGTATCGATATAATCACAAGCAAAATCATATCATTATAAATATTCTATTAACAATACTTATCAAAATATTTATACACTTACATGGTATTTATTGAGATTGTGTGATCTGTATAGGCTGTCTGATCTTTACAGAAGCTGTAAACTGAGACGGGCGCAGTGACCGCAGTAATGTTCAGCTCTGATGAGGTGCTTTTATTTACCCTGTAGTCTTTAGATTTTTTACATAATGTTCCATTACTTAAAATTTCTTTCGTTTTTTTTATTTATAGTTTATATTAACATGAGTGCTAGCTTGTTTTGCTGTGATCATTATGCAAGGATCATATTTCATGTTCGGTTTATTCTTCAGTAGCCGATAGATTCATTAATAATGTATTTTTAAAAGGATTGTTTATAAGGACTAAGCTATAAATATATAATACATTAGGCTAATTATTAAGACAATGGTCAGGTAGGATAACAAATCACATCCATGTAGTAAATTACTGTTGAGTGGGATCTGTGCGTGGTATCTGCCTTTTTATGTACGATATGAGTATGAGTATTTTAAGTGTCGCCCCGATACTGGTATTGGAATCGGTGCATCCCTAGTGATTATAAATACACTGTTTGACCAATTCATGCGTGATGTATCAATTCATAGATTCAGCATTTCCATAATTTGGTGGAAGTGAGATCATATCTTAAGTAAAACATAGGGCCCTATCATACACCCGGCGCAATGCAGCGCAAGGCGCGGCGCAAATGTTATTTGCTAGTTTCACCTTGACGCAAGTGTTGTTTTGCTGTTTTGCACCACGTTGTTTAAATAGCAAATGCATTTGCACTTATATGTGCGCCCATAGGCGTTCTGGTCTGAATAGGAAAGTGTTCTGAGGCGCACTGCTGGCACGTTGCTATTTTGAGAAACTATAATAGATTTTTCATTAGACCAAAACAAACCCGGTCTAAACTCAAGCATAGAGTTGCGCCTCGCTTACACACTGCTTAATAGCCTACACACAAGATGTAGAGCAATACGCAAATATCTTTACATATGAAAAAATTTAAATATTAAGGATATATATAGGATATAATAAGAATATAAATATAGGAAATAAGTATAAAGGATTAAAATATTACAAATCATGTTATTTTCTAGCATAAATAAATATGAAAAATCACTGCTTTTATTTCTTCTTCATCTCGGGAGGCTTTTTCAGTTCATTCATAACAATTTGCTTTTGTATAATGTTATTATTATTAGCAGTATTATTTATTATCTTCATATTTATATTTGTTTTATTAAAAACAAGCTTAGATTTGCCCACCTGCAGGTTTTAGACCATATGGGGCACAGCATGTGTATTAGGATACAACTCAGGTTTTTAAGCACACTTTGTTGTTATTGTTCATTTATTCGTTTGCTAGAAATTAGAACTGAATTTAGAAATAGTTTTGAAACGAATATTTGCGCTTAACAAACAAAATTAATTATTTATAGGCTAATTAATGTGTGTGCATAAAGGTTTCCCTATCTAAGAGCGAAAGTGAAAGTAGATCGATTATCTCTCATTCTCACGCAGTAAATGCTCTGTTTAACAGTTTTCTGTTAAAAAAAACTTTTAACTGTTTGCTTGTAAAATGCTGAGTTTTTCCACTTAGACTTACTTTACATCCTGTAAATAGCGAATGCGCTTATGGCACGACGCAGCTGGCTCTTAAAGGGAATGGGAGATGAGACTCTGATTGGTTTATTCTTAAAACACATCTATAACTCAATAAGAAAATAAACTCAAACCTTTTAGACCATGCGCCACGGCGCAAAGCAGATTTTTCTGTCCTTAAATTAGCAAAGATGCATTCTGACACACCCTGAAAGCGTTTGCACCCTGGGTTTTGCGCTCTGCGCATGGACTGTCAAAATAGAGCCCATAGAGTTTGTGTAAACTGTGCAACTGACCACCGTTTTCAGGCCGACTCGGGTAAGGTTCCGCACCATTTGAATCACATCCAGATTAATTTAAATCTGAGGCAACAAACTAAATCGAAAGCCACACCGCTAAACTATTTACATAACAAATGACTTCAGGCTATAAATCATAAATGGATTTTTTTACACAACTACTAACACATGTTAACACATTAGTGATAATTATTTTACCAATAATTCTCCTGAGTTTGCACTGAAGTAACTGAAATGCCAACAGGACTTGTCTGTAAAAGCACCTCTCTAACATGTATCTGCTTAAGCCCTCCACAGTTTTTTTTAGATTCTTAGCATCTGATGACATGATGCACTAAACATACTAATCATAACAGTGTGATCGTACAGAACAGGGAACAGCCAATGCTGATCACATCTGTTATCGTTTGCATCAAAGGGTAAAAGGGCGTTCATATATTTTTAATTATTATTCAGTGATTTCTCTGCATACCACTAGAAGGAAACCCGCGTACAACACTTTGAGAACCACTGGTATAGATGGGTGGTTAGGCCTTGTCTGTGTCAGGTTTTTCCTTTTTTCAGGTATTGGAGAGCAGGCAAAAGAGGGAGACTCACAAGAGCAGTGGAGCAGAAGAAGGAGAACGGTGGAGATATACTTGAAGACCTGGAGCTCATGAAGCAGGTAGTGCTGCATGAACAGACTAAACAATGGAGTTAGTTTCAAAAGAAATGTATTAAAATTAGTTAAAGACCTGATATCTTTCTCTTTGACAGGTTGGCATGGAGCATGTGAAGGAACAGGGAAACACACTGTAATGACTAGTGCATCGTAATAAATTAGGTACAGCCTTAAACTTTAAGTTGAGTCAACTGAACTTTATAAAACATTTTAAACTTATACAATTACATTTTTACAGAGTAAGTGTCACAGAAGGGACGACATTCAGTTCAGTAATATAACAGGACGTCAGGTGAGTATAAGCAGGTGAGTTTATTGATGCAGATAATAAGTCCATTAACCTGAATTGGATATTTGATTATGCAGGCTTGGAGACTGGAGACGGATACCACAGACAGCAAACAGGATGAAGACTAAACGAGGAACCAGGAGACACCTCACTAGGAGAGACACTGGAACTCACAGGAGATGTGCTTGTGGTGCTTCAGTGAGTGGAAAACCTGGTCTTAATGGGGCAGTAAGTGGTTGTCAGATATTTCCTTCAGATAGACAGAAATAGATACAATATTTTTGTTTGTATGCTTCATTTGTATATCGCTATCTAACTTAACATTTGCAGATTGTTATTTGTTATATGATCGGATAAATTGATCTGTTCTAATGTATTTGTATGCTGTCAGAGTTACCACATTGAATATTACTGCACGTCTGTTGTCAGATAGATTGTCTGGCTGTTGTATTATTTATTAGTAATTTATGCTGTTGGCCTGTTCAACATTTGTAGCTTTTGATTGTTTTTTGTTTTATTTACAGTTTTACTAATTATTGTAGCACATTTATCTCTTCTAAGTTTATAGATTGTCATCTAGTAGAGTATTTACTTATAGGTGTGAAATATTATTTGTTAGTTTTAGAACAGAACCAGACTGGAGACAATGGTAGATGAAACTTCCAAAGAATGGTATTAGATTAATGAATGACTTGACATCTTTCTATTGTATTTTACAGATCAGATGGCACCACATGGAGAAAAGAAGGAATCACACACCTCAGCAATGACTGGATGGTCAGGAATTTAATTTTTTTTTTAATTAGGTGGACGTGTGAATCGATGGACGTCCTTCCAAGATGAAGGAGTGCTGGTTGTTGTAGATAGTAATTAGGCCTTGTCTTTGTCAGGTTTTTCTTTTTCAGGTAATGGAGAGAGAGCAGGCAGAAGAGGGAGACTCACAAGAGCATCAGTGGAGCTATCAGGAGCTTAAGTTTGATTACTTTATTTTGGATTATGAAAGAAAAATTCTCCAACAAGAGTGATTATGCTGCTTCCTGATGGTGAAAGTGATTATACTCATGGCAAGTATTATTTGACAGTTTGGTCATTTGTTTCACTAAGGGCCTACTCACACTATGCCATCCGTACCGTGCCCAGGCCCGTTTCCCGGATCGTTTGAGAAGTGTGAGTGCGCTGAATCAGGCTCAAGCACGGTTCACTTGGCCGGCCCTGGCCCGGTTGGAAGAGGTGGGTCTGAGTGCGGTTCACTTGGGCCCGAAACTGAAAGCGACACGTGACTTTTAAGGGACTGTTTCATATGGATTTATTAATCATTCTTACTGTTCATTGAACGCAAACTGCCGTAGTTTATTAAATACGCAAACTTCTCAATGCACGACAGCTGAATTTGCGGTTAGTAAATAACCGATTGTGTTCTATTTGGGACACTACATTCATATACTATGCTGTTGAGTGTGTAAGTGCATAAGTACATAGTGTATAAGTTCATAGTGTATAGCGTGCCTTTTGGGACGCAGCTTTTGTCATTTGTAGGTTGGAGTGGAGCAGAAGTAGAAGAGTCACAGGAACAGTGGAAATATACTTGAAAATCTGGAGCTCAGGAAACAGGTAGAACTGCTTGAACAGACTAAACAATGGAGTTTGTTTCCAAAGAAATATATTGAGATTAAAGACCTGATATCTTTCTCTTTGACAGGTTGGCATGGAGCATGTGGAGAAACAGCGAACCACACATCAGTATTGACAAGTACATCGTAATAAATTAGGTAGACTTACATTTTTAGTTGAATCAAATTAACTTAATAAAACATTTTTAAATTATATACTTTAATTTGTAAAGACTAAGTGATGATTGGGTATTTCCTTCAGATACAGTAAATAGTTAGATAGATGTCTTGTCTGCCGCAGGTGTTTCTTTTTCAGGTAATGGACACACAACAAACAGAAGAAGGAGACTCACAAGAGCATCAGTGGAGATTTATCTGAAGAACGCTGGAGAGCAGCTTGTGCATTGCTGGAGTTCAGCAAGCATGTAGAGCTCTGTTAGTCGTGTCTTTGTCTTTTACAGACTGGAGTGGAGCATGTGGAGACCAATAGGAATCACACACCTCAGTGGTGACTGGACACTGATGGTCAAGAATATCCTTTTAATGCAGAAGTATGGGTGCATGGATAGATGTCCTTCCAAGTGGAAGGGGGTGGTGGTGGGCATAGATTGTTAAATAGATGTTTTGTCTGTGGCTGTTATTTACATTGTAGATAATGAATTCTCAACAGGCGGAAGAGAGACACTCACAAGAGCATAAGTATTATAAATAATTTTTGATACATTTTGAAATATAAGTTGTATGTACCTATGATATATTTGTATGGGGGAGACCGGGGATAGTTGTACTTCTATTATATTTCTCTATATATCTTTGAGATCTTGAGTTACAAGTGTCTGCTATTAAATGGCCAAATAAGTAATTTTTGCAGCGTAAACAGTAAATATGAACACTTTTTAGTTTCAGGGTGTACTCACACTATGCTATCAGTACCGTGCCCAGGCCCATATCGTTTGAGAAGTGTGAGTGTTCCGAATCTGGCTCAGGTGCGGTTCACTTGGCCGGCCCTTGCCTGGTTGAAAGAGGTGTGCCAGCGCGCGATTCACTTGGGCTGGAAACTGAAGACGAGACGTGACATTTAAGGAACTGTTTTATATGGATTTATTAATCATTCATACTGTTCAATGAATGCAAACTGTCGTAGATTATTAAAGAAGCAAACCCCTCACTGCATGACAGCTGCACCTGTAGCAAACCTCTTAATTCCTGCAGCGCGATGACTTTATAATTGTTTATGAGCGTCAAAAGTGGCTGATCTGTTCAGCGAAATAATTAACTGCGTGTCACCCCTTCCACCCCTACCTCTCCAGCTTTCCCTTCATAGGGTGGCACGGTGGCCCAGTGGGTAGCAATGCAGCCTCACAGCAAGAGCGTCACCGGTTCTAGTCCTTTAACAGGCTGACTGTCATTTCTGTGCATAGTTTGCATGTTCTTCCCGTGCTCGCATGGGTTTTCCCTGGGTTCTCCGGTTTCCTCCCACATTCCAAAAACATGTACTACAAGTGAATTGATCAATCTAAATTTAGCACTACAGTCAAACTCTCATTCAGCAGCATATCTCTTCATAGCATTTATTTTAGTCATCAGCTCATATCATGGGGGGAGTTGTCGAGATCTACCTGAGGCAAACGGGAGGGAGCCCAGGGCTCAAGGACCTTTTGAGCTCAGGTCTCTCTCCCGGGACAGCATGCTAAACTTGCTTATAATCAGTCATCAGCTAAGTGTGAACTCTTGAAAACGATATAACTAAAGAAATTTCCACTGTGCTGAGTGAGAGCGCTTCTTACTGAACTGTGCATCATTGATGACGTAAGCATGCTCAGTCCCAAATGCGATGTGAGTGCGGGCCGTCAGGTGAGACGGGAGGGGGGACAAATGTGCTTCGGCCCGGTTCAAGGCAACTGTAAATAGTGTGAGTAAGCCCTCAAACAGGAGGAGTGAAATGTTACAATTCAGCCCACAGTCTGGGTTAGTTGTAACATCATAAAATGAGAATTATGACATAAAAATGGATTTGAAAGCTTTTTATTCAGCATTGAGCTTTCAGTATAGTTTGTGTGTCTCTGTGTTACAAAGCTGAATGAAATGTGCAAATGTGCATCAGCTTCAACAATTGAACACTATTTTTGTTTGCAGGCTTCATGAGCCCACAGAGGTCAAACACTGAACTCAAACTACTTTTGACTTTCTCTTTTATAAGCTATAGCAATACTGAAATTAAATCATATAAATACAGTTTTAAATCTGCTTGGGGTTGGTGGTAACATTTCACTGATGTGACTAGCAAGTTACTAGCTTTTGTTGTTTCAACTGACCAAGCATTATGTGGCCATGAATCTGTTCTCCTACAGCTAACAGCTAAAACATTATCACCAACAATGTGGATTAAGTATATCCACAATCAGACACACAGATTACATGGGTTTAACTACAAATCAGGGAATGATATCTTAAAAATAATTAATTAGCTAATCTTAGCTGAAGTGTAGTTTTTCTGTTTAATATCTGCTGTGTCTGTCACAGGACTTTTTCATATGTGGTATGAGGACTAAAATGAGCATGTGTGAAGTGAATCAGCTGATTTGTAACTAGTTCCTTGTTGTAGAGATTGTAAGTGTTACAACTATCCCCGCTCTCTCCAAATCTAAGGGCTTTTTTTTGACGGTCCATGTGCAGAGCGCAAATTGCAGGGCGCAAACGCTTTCAGGGCGTGTCAGAACGCATTTTTGCTAATTTAAAGACGAGAAAATCCGCTTTGCGCCATGGCGCATGGTCTAAAAGGGTTGAGTTTATTTTCTTAATGAGTTATTGGTGTGTTTTGAGAATAAACCAATTAGAGTCTCATCTCCCATTCCCTTTAACAGCCAGCCGTGTCGCGCCATAAGCGCATTCGCTATTTACAGGACGTATAGTAAGTCTAAGTGGAAAAACTGAGCATTTCACTAGCAAACAGTTAACAGTTTTTTTTACAGAAAACTGTTAAACAGAGCATCTACTGCATGAGAATGAGAGATAATCGATCTACTTTCACTTTCGCTCTTGGATAGGGAAATCTTTACGCACAGACATCAATTAGTCTATAAATAATTAATTACGTTTGTTAAGCGCAAATATTCGTTTCAAAACTATTTCTAAATTCCGTTCTAATTTCCAGCAAACGAATAAATGAACAATAATAACGAAGTGTGTTAGAAAACCTGAGTTATATCCTAATACACATGCTGTGCCCCATATGGTCTAAAACCTGACAGGTGGGCAAATCTAAGCTTGTATTTCATAAAACAAATATAAATATGGAGATAATAAATAATACTGCTAATAATAATAACATTATACAAAAGCAAATTGTTATAAATTAACTGAAAAAGCCCTCTGAGATGAAGAAGACATAAAAGCAGTGATTTTTCATATTTATGTAGGCTAGAAAATAATATGTTTTGTAATATTTTAATCCTTTATATTTATATCCTATATCTATTCTTATTATATTCTATATCCCTAATATTTAATTTTTTTCATATGTAAAGATTTGCCTATTGCTCTCTTGTGCGTATTAAGCAGTGTGTAAGCGAGGTGCAACTCTGCGCTGGAGTTTAGACCGGGTTTGTTTTGGTCTAATTAAAAATCTATTTTTGTTTCGCAAAATAGCAATGCGCCTGAGAATGCCTTCCTTTTTAGACCAGAACGCCTATGGAAGCACATATGAGCGCAAATGCATTTGCTATTTAAACAGCGTAGCGCAATGCCTCAAAACCACTCTTGCGCCAAGCTGAAACTAGCAAAAGACTATTGCACTGCGCCTTGCACCACATTGCGCCGGGTGTATGATAGGGCCCTAAACATTAACTTGTATTTGAAATATAACGTTCACTATTACAATTTAAATTAGAGATTAGATCTGCTTACAGCGCGTCATGTGTTTCAGAAAAGTGAGTGATTATAAATACCCTGAAGAAAATTCATAAGTGATTTATCAATTCATAAATGCAGCATTTCCATGATTTGGTGGAATTGAGATCATATCATAAGTAAACCGTGGAGTTTGTGCAAACTGTGCATCCGACCACGGTTTTCAGGTCGACTTGGGTAAGGTTTGCAGGTGCTCCGTCTGTGCACAAACTTCCATTTTGTGTTTTTTCAAGGTTCAAACATGGTAAAATTGGCTTTAGTCTGTTCTTCGACC